TGACACTTTTGCCGGCTGATCGGGAAAAATTTTGATTCGTGCACCCGAAGTTTGCTAAAATTCGGATTCGATGCGAATCGAATTTTTCCTGATATTCGAAACGAATTCCACTTCGCCAGGTTCGATTCGCTCATCTCTAATTACAAGTCCCAGGAGAAAATTACATCACATAGACAAATAAACAATCAAACACAAGAAAACAACATATTCCTTCCTGGCACCTGCAGTCTAGACTCTGCAGGTGATTAACCAATTCCCATCCGCCCTATAGCAGAAATACTGCTATAGGGCGGCACGGGTGCACAAAATCACGTATATATACATGATTTCACATTTCCAGGTAGGGAGCGCGCCCTACCCGCGCCGCCATTCGCGGCTGTCAATTACCGGGTCCGGGACGGTAATTACTCGCCGGCGCCCAGTGATTTTCGATGATTTCTGACGGGGAGGAGAACTGTTTTGTTTACTAAGTTCTTTCTCCTCCCTGTCAGCTCGGACACACTGATTTGGATGCTTACAGTGAAGAACACTGACATGGCCCCCTAGTAAAACACTCCCAGCACACAGTTAACTTTTGATCTCCCCTCATGTTAACCCCTTCCTGCCCAGTGCCATTAGTACAGTGTCAGTGCTTTTTTTTCAGCACTGATCACTGTATTGATGTCACTGGGGATGTCAGTGACATCAAGTCTGTTCCCCTCAGTGTCAGAATACCCGCCACAGTCCCGCTATAAGTCGCTGATCGTCTCCATTACTAGTGAAAAAAATTCCAGTATCTATACCGCCATCTGTAAACGCTAAAACTTTCACGTAAACAAATAATTTACACTTATTTTTTTTTTTAGCAAAGCCATGTAGCAGAATTCATTTTGGCCTAAATTTATGATGAAATTGGATTTTTTAAATTTTTTTACTGGACATGTAAGAGTCCAAAATATTGTTTTTTTTCTCAAAATTGTCGGTCTTTTTATTTATAGTGCAAAAATGAAAAAACGCACAGGCAATCAAATACCACCTAAAGAAAGCTCAATTCATGAGAAAAAGGACATAAATTTCATTTGGGTGCAGCGTTGCATGATGGCGTAATTGTCAGTTAGAGTAAGCAGCGCCATAATGCAAAAAGTCAGGAAGGGGGGTAAATCCTCTGGAAGGCAAGTGTTTAAACAATGTGAGAGCTGTAAAAAAACCTAATTACAGCACACAATAGTTGATGCCAGGAAACCTATAACAGAAAATAAAGTTTATTAACCCCATATATGCTGAAATTCACCCCCTGCACATAACACAGGATAATAGTTCCACTATGCATATTATGCCAAGGGGTCCCGGAAACAGTCCCTTCAGCCCTAATTGCATGGAAAGGGTAGATGGTATAATTCACAGCCAGCCAGGTACCCAGGGAGGTGATATAACCCTCTTGGGAAAAAGGTTCCTTGTAACCCCAAGAGGGGAGCTCCTTAGTCCTGGTCCACAGTCTTTGGAAAAGGAAGCTGGCTCCTGGGGCCCTCCAGGAACCCAAGTCCTGGGGGTTTCTGTGACAATTCCCTTTAAGCCCTGGTTCACGCTGATGTGGTGAGGAATTTGCAGCATCTTCAGTGCAAATTCTGCAACGCATCAGAATCGCCCCCAGTTCATGCGAACCGCTGCAGGTGTGTATGTTAAGTTAACAACACCCCGTAAACAGTCCACAAAACGCATTGCGTTGTGCAGAATCGCATTGCATAGGTGTGAAAACCCATGCGATCGGATTCTAGTGCGGACCCAAACAAGGGTCCTGCATGTTTATGGTGCCATCAGGGGCGGACTGACAACTCATGGGGCCCCCGGGCAATAGGGGATCATGGGGCCCCTGTGTCCTTGCCCAAACTCAAAAAAGCCTATGAAAAAGGTACCAGGGGCATCTCATGGGGCCCCCTACTGACCCCGGGCCCTCGGGCCGAGTTTCCAAATGGTCAGTCCGCCCCTGGGTGCCATACATAATGTATGGTTCCAATAGCACCACACACAAATTGCATGTGATTTGCGCAGGAATGCGGTGCGGTTCCTGTGCGAATCACATGCGATGTACCAAACCGCATATATGTGAACCCGGGTTAAGAGAAAAATTTGTCAAGAACAAAAAAAAAATATATATAAGCTTAAAGGATCTCCCCTCTCCCTCCTACAAACTGTCAATTAAAAAAAAAAAAAAAGCAAAAAAAAAAAAAAAAAAAAAAAAAAATCCATAGGAACGCAGACTCCGTACAGAGAAAATGAGGGCATTAGAACACCGGCATGTGAGAATATAAAGTGTGCCTTAACCATGGAGGCAGCTGGGAGTGAAAATCCAGTTTGATCTTCAAGATGCCAGCATGCTGCCTTAGTAATTCCCACAGGTACCTGGCTGCTGAAGAAAAGAGAAAGATGACTAAAAGTATCTGACCTGGGAGCTCGGACTCCCACATCGTCTTAGTTCTGCCTCACTGTCACGCTATACATCCATGGAGATAATGTACTCTGCACAAAAAAAAACAGAATTAACAAAAGCCAGTGAGAAATTTCTTTCCTTAAAGTGAACTTGTGATAATAGAAATATGAAGGCTGCCATTCCTTACATTTCTTTTTGAAAATGTTTGTTGCCTGGCTGCCATACTCATTTACTGGGTTCAGTATTTTTTGAGTCACTGGCCTGAGAGAAATATACAGATGAGGAGCCCCAACTTCAATGACTGCATGCTTTTTCTAGCTTAGGCCAGCCATAGACTATCAAGAATTGTGATTCATCTATGAGCAGGCTGGTTCTGTTGATGTCGATCTGTCAACTATAGTATGGCCAGCCCAGGGGCGGACTGACAACTCATGGGGCCCCCGGGCAATAGGGGATCATGGGGCCCCTGTGTCCTTGCCCAAACTCAAAAAAGCCTATGAAAAAAGTACCAGGGGCATCTCATGGGGCCCCCTAATGACCCTGGGCCCTCGGGCAGTGCCCGAGTTTCCAAATGGTCAGTCCGCCCCTGGGCAGCCTGTCTGTTTGTTTTTTGGTGCAATCACTGCCAGTGGCTATAGCCGCCAGTAGTGATCATTGCATTCTGACGGCTGGGAAACATCCCATTGTCAGAATACAATAGTGCAGCAAGCGGGATTTCCCCATCAACACTGACTGTATGGATGGGGAAATTGAGCAATTTTCTTTCCTTGGCCTGTGGTTAAAGGAAAGAAAATTGCATATTGTATGGTCTGTTCTAGTGCAGCCAGAGACAGCAAGATGGCCAGAATTTTTAGATGGAAGTCACTAATATGGGCAGCACAGTGGCTAAATGTTTATCGATTCCGCATGGCAGTAATTGGTTCAAATCCCAACCACGGCACCACCTGCCTGGAGTTTGCATGTTCTCCCTGTGCCTGCGTGGGTTTCCTCCAACACTCCAAAGAGTGGTTAATTGGATCCTGTCTTACCCCAGGTACCCTAAGCATTTTCTGCAGTGTTTTGCAGAAACGCAGCACAGTCCATTTAACATGATATCCTATGGGACATGTTCACATCTGTGCATTTTCACCCGGTGCATTTTTTGGAAAGGGTCAGGAACTTTTTTGAATGCGAAAAGTTGCATTTTTGGTTCTATAGACTTAAGTGGAAATTCTGCAAAAAAGCATGTATTGCGTATTTGCTATGGTGTTGCCGTTCTTGATGCGTTTTGCATTTGAAATCTGCCTAGCAACAAAAAAAGTTTAAAAAATGAAAAAAATAGAAGAAAAACACATCAAAAAACATGGCAAAAATACATGAAAAGCATGGCAAAACAGAAATGGCTCAAATGCAACCTGCATAGGTGTGAACCTAGACTAAAGTGGCCCTTGTATGTGTATGAATGTGAGTTACGGACTTAAGCTCCTTGAGGGTTAGGGACTGATGTAAATGTACAATATATATGTAAAGCACTACGTAAATTGATGGTGCTATGTAAGTACCTGTAAAAATAAATAATGAGTTCATCCTGTAATGAGTGGAGGTTAGTTGGAGGAACCAGTAAAAGCAGTAGGGTATCCAGGAGATTGACACTCCCAGAAGTGTTGGTCTCCCAGCTAGCTTTGGGGGCCATTTTTCATTAAAGGTGGCTGTACACTGAAAGAATATGTCAACCCAACATTTCATATTCCTGATAATGTGCCTGCTGTACCATATACTTGTATGAAAAAGTCTCCTGTTCTCTTTGTATTGCTTCCTTTGTGTGAAATCCCTGGTGTTCCTGCCGGTCTCTCTGCTTTCCTATTAAAAGCTGACCACATTAAGCAGGAGAACTCTATTGATCAGACTTGTGCTCACACCCCCCCCCCCCCCCCACAGCCATTCACTGGGAAGGATCAGTGTCATGATGTTTCTCCTCCCCCAGGTCTTATGCAGCTGAGAACAGAGGGTATGTAAGCACTTTAAAAAAGGCGAAAGAAGGGATTTAGAATTTTTTTTTACATCTATACACAAATGTTTTGCCTTTCATTTCTCTTTTAAACGGAATGAGTTTTACAAGGTGAGGGTTTTTTAGGACTTTAATGACTTCTCTCATTCAGTCAAGCAGGCCGAATCAGAGAAACCTATTGATTTCCCAGCATAGATGGATGACTGTTGATCTTTGTATTCTGTTGGATTTTGTGTTTTGACAGCTGGCAGGCACCCATGGCTATACCCAAACAGTGACTGCAGCTGATTGGCTACAGTTACTGTTTGTCCGACTTTTTCCTGATCGACTCCTTCGATTTTTCAAAATCAAAATGACAGCTCGAGAGGAGAGCCGGTAATCAGCTTTCGCGGAGGGGACATGTACACTGATCATCAGGGCACTGATGATCAGTGTGCCCTGATGACCAGTGTGGCCCCAGATCAGTGCCACCTGTCAGTGCTCATCAGTGCCACGTGCCAATGCCCATCAGCGCACATCAAATGCCACATATCAGTGCATACCAGTGCACATCAATGCCACATATCAGCGCCCATCTGAGCTGCCTTTCAATGTCACCCATCAGTGCCACTCAGTGCCACCTATCATTGCCAATCAGTGCCACCTATCAGTGCTGCCAATCAGTGCCATCTATCAGTGCCAGTCAGTGTCACCAATCAGTGTGCATCAGTGCCGCCTATCAGTGCCAGTTAGTGCCGCCTAACAGTGCCAGTCAGTGCTGCCTATCAGTGCCAGTCAGTGCCGCCTATCAGTGCCAGTCAGTGCCGCCTAACAGTGCCATATATCAGTGTCATCTATCAGTGCTGCCTTTCAGTGCCCATCAGTGATGCCTGTCAATGCCCATCAGTGCCACCTACCAGTGCCTCCTCATCAGTGCCTCCTCATCAGTGCCACCTATCAGTGTCCATCAGTGCAGCCTATCAGATCCCATCACTGCAGCCTCATTAGTGCACATCAGTGAAGGAGAAAAATCACTTATTTACAAAATTGTATAACAAAAACTAAGAAAAAACTTTTTTTTTTTCAAAATTTTCAGTGGTTTTTGGTTTGTTTAAGAAAAAATAAAAATCCCAAAGGTGATTAAATACCACCAAAAGAAAGCTCAATCTGTCTCAAAAAAATTATAAAAATTTCATATGGGTACAGTATTGCATGACCGCGCAATTGTCATTCAAAGTTTGACAGCGCTGAAAGCTGGAAATTGGCCCGGGCAGGAAGGGGGTATAAGTGCCCTGTAGGCTAGTGGTTAAAATCTGTGACTTTGTGTAACTAAAAGGCAGGCTTGTTCCACCCACTGGCTTGCATACATGTTTTAGGCAATGTTTAGACATTTTGCCAAGGCACCCCTGAAGAAACCCCAAGGTACCCCAAGGCCTGGGCACCCTGGTTGAGAAAGGCTGGTTTGGTATCACTTTAACAATAAACTTACATTGGAGCTTTGGGAACCTGTTGGTCACCCACCACATCGACTGAACATTGCTGACAAGTTTTTATTTATGATCTCACAAACACAATGTAGTACGGATGTCCACCACATATTGCTTTGTGTTCTGTTGGGTTTACTGCAGTGTCAAATACAGGGTAAGTGTTGGCTTGGGATGTAATGACACGATCCTGGAGAGTCTGTACTGTCCACTCTATACCTCCATTAAAGACACGGACACATTAACTGATATAAAAATCAGATGCCAAGATGTTATTAAGTTGTAAGTGGTACTTTGTTATTTCAGGCAATTACCTGGAGGTAAACACAAGCTCATTTACAAATGCCTGCCTGAAAATGAAGCGATAGTTTATGAAGCTGTGCACGCTGACAGAGTGGTAATGAAATCCTTGTTATTTACACTCAGGAATTGTTAATTTTGCAGCAGAATGATCCTAAGAACAGCTGGGAGATCCATTATTTCTTTATTTATGTTGTAGAAGAGGAAACGGTGAACTTCAGGACATTTATCAGTCCACCTAAAGGAGCACTTTAGGAAAAAAACATACAGATGCAGTCTGACTTTATTTCCCCGGGCTATCATAAGAAAAATAATTGTGCTGGCTTTGTAATTAAGTTCTGGCAATGTCATAGATAGCCAGCCAGTGGAGCTGCAATCACGTAGATTGTTCCAATCATGAATATCCCTGAGGTGATCAAGTGGCAGGTGGCAATAAATACTGTATGTTGTGCAGCTCTGGCCGAAGGGTCTTATTTGTAGTCAGGGATGCTGTTAGAAATGATGGGGCCTCATACAGCCAACATGACAGGGCCCCCCCCTAAAAAAAAGCAGTTTACTATGCTTCAGTTATGAATGATCACAGTGAGTGATAGGTACTGATCACTCATTGTGTTCATTCAGGAAAGGAAGAGGCTGGTAAATGTAACATACATACAGGATTCGCAAGGGAGAATGTCACCAGCACACCGAGGATCATCAATATGGGTCCAAAAGTTTAAATGAACGATCACATAGTTACAGCGAGGCAACGTTTTGGAGTCTCGCAGGACCCCTTCATCAGGCATGTCACATGCCTAATGAAGGGGTCCTGCGAGACTCTGAAACGTTTCCTTGCTGTAACTATGTGATCGTTCATTAAGGCTAGGTTCACACTAATGCGGTGCAATACATCATTTGGTATGGCTCAAATCGCACCGCGCCCACACCAAAAAGGTGCAGGACCCTTTTTTGGGTCCGCACTAGAATCGGATTGCATGGGTATTCACACCTATGCGATCCGACTCTGCACATCGCACCGCATTTTGCGGACCGATTTCGGGGTGTTGTAAACTTAACATACACACCTGCATTGGTTTGCATGAACGGGGTGCAATTCTGATGCGGTGCGGAATTCGCACAGAACATGCTACAAATTCCTCACCGCATCAGTGTGAACCCAGGCTTAAACTTTTGGACCCATATTGGTGATCCTCGGTGTGCTGGTGATATTCTCCCTTTCTGATTCTGTTCGGTTCCAGCCGACGGTCGCTGCAACACCCACTTATACACACAGCCAATTTTAACACAGCAACTTGTGTGTTTGGATTGTACACTTGCATTTATACAGCACCCTCCCCACCTCTCCATCCTGAGGGATTCTATTGTGTGCTTGCAGCTGCTTCATGGGTGTGGCAGGAAGGAAATTACTGGAACCAATCCCCTGTATGGCTCTCTCCACAGCAGCTGAAAGCTAGTGAGAGGGAGAGAAAAGAAGCCAGCTTTCAGCTACTGCAGAGAGAACCATACAGGGGATTGGATCCAGTAATTGCCCCCTGCCGTGTCGATCACCCTCCCTGCCCACATCTGATTCACCCAGCTACCTGGGCCCCCCGGCTGGCATGGGCCCCGTACAGGAGGACTGGTGGTACCCCATTATCCATGGCCCTGCTTGTAGTATGGATACAACAGGGAAGGGTTAGAACCTCTGTCAGGTTGCAAACGCTAGTTGCTGACAAGCTTTCCAATTTATTATTATTATTATACAGGATTTATATAACACTAACAGTTTGCTCAGCGCTTTACAATATAACGGGAGACAATACAGCAACAATACAAGAGGGATAGGAGGGCCCTGCTCCTTGGAGCTTACAATCTAAGAAGGAGGGCCCTGATCCTGGGAGCTTACAATCTAGGAGTTTTATATATCCATTCTTATCATTTATATCACAGGTGTAAAACCGGTGGCCCTCCAGCTGTTGCCAAACCACAAATTCATTGCGTATTAAATACAAAGTACATTTTCCACAGCCATAAGCCTTTGTCATCTACTAATGTGAGACTGATAGCCAAAAGCAGCAGACTCCCTCACTGGTTGTCTTTGGGTGCAGGAAGGACTAGACTAGTTTTGTACTATTCCAACACAGACTATATATCTTTTTATATATATATACTGTATATACAGTCATGGCAAAAAATATTGTCCCTTCAGCATTTCTGTCAGATAACGCACCACTTCGCCTAGAAAACTGTTGCAATTACAAATGTTTAGGCATTCTCATATTTATTTCTTTTTTCTGTATTGGAATGACACAAAAAAGAGGAGAAACAAGAAGCCAAATCTGACACATTCCATCTAAAACCTCAAAACTGGACTGGACAGAATTATTGACACCCTCAATTTAATATTTGGTAGCACACCCCTTGGAAAAATAACTGAATTCAATCGCTTCCTGTAACCATCAATGAGTTTCTTACACCTCTCTACACCTTACACCTCTCTACTGGAATTCTGGACCACTCTCCTTTCGCCAACTGCTCCAGGTCTCTATTTATTTTAAAAATCAACAATAATGTAGTTTCAGGTGCTACACAATCATACATGTATGATTGTGTAGTGCCTGAAACTCCTTTATTGTTTATTTAGTATTGCTGGTGGTTAATTATCACTACAGGAGAGCAGCTTCACATTTATAGGGGCATTTGGTTGGGGTTGGTGGGCGCATTTTTGCTATAATTTTATTATTTATTCTTTATTTGCCATTTTTCCCCCCCCACAAAAGTGGGGTTCCCCTTTAAGTCACATAAATCCAAGCAGGCAACATTGAAAACAATGGGTTGCAGCTTGTCATGCTACTTTATGGGTCGTTGTATGAAAAGTTGCACAACTGTGAATGGAGCCTTAAAGGAGAAGTACAGCAAAAGCTCTTTTGGCTGTACTTCTCCTGTGGATTGCAGGAGTGCAGTTCATTCGAATGGCGGCACAGGTAGGGCTCGCGCACGGCTCGCGTGCGCCCCTTCCCGGAAATGTAAAATCACATATATACATGTTTTTGTGCACCCATGCCCCCCTGTAGCAGTATTTCTGCTATAAGGCGGCACGGAAGAGGTTAACAAAACAGCCACTCACCTGTCCTATGATCCTGTGGTGTCCTCACCCCAGTTGGGTTTACCGGCCGTAATCTATCCCTGGTGCCGGCATAGTAAGTGTGGGCACCCGGGTGTGACAGCTTGCGGCTTCACAGCTGGGTGCCTGTTACTCACGCACAAGCATTGTGAATAGTCCCGCAGTCTTTTGGGGCCTGTCAGGTCTCTGTGGGGAGGGGGGAGAACTTCCGCTTGCCTATGTAGTCGAAGCCGAAGTGGGAGCAGGTACCTGTCAATATCGGGTACCCGATCCCCCCACTCCCCAAAGGTGGCAATCCTTAACGGGGAGCCGGAGACGAGTCTTTAAAGCAGAACTACCCCTTTTGGGTGGAGCTCCGCTTTAAGTCACTGAGATTGGCATGGTATGTGCCAGGTAGGTGGAGCTGGGAACTCATAATAATATGATCTGTCCACATATGCATTTATGCAAATATATTGTGACAACACATTGCTAGGCATGTAAATACAGCCCTTATGTTTTAATGTTCATTTGACACTGTAACTAAAATAAAAGATGATCCAAAGTAAATATTAGCATGTGAAATTATGCAAATCTGCATCTTTGGTGCATTTTTATTTGTTATTTTTAAAATGTTTACCATATGGTATTTAAATTAAATGCTTAGAAAATACAGAGTAACAACTATTTCATATTTTATAGTTAGAAATAAAAATCTTAGGTACTAAGAATCTTTATTTACCCCCCCCCCCCCCCCCCCCCCATCCCAGTATAACGTCAGAAAACTAGTTCCAAGAAACGAAAATCAGTGTTGCCAAGCCTCTCACTGTCCAGTACAGGTGCATAAATGTGAATTTTGGCTAGTGCTGATCAACAGGTCAGAGAAGAGTGGTTTAATACAGTAAAAAAAATCATCTCACTAAAGAGTGTTTTCACAAATACTGTATATCAAGCTGCCTTGTGCTGGTAGCATCATGATGATCCAGACTGCTGCTATTATTTAGAGGATAAAAGCACTGTTGATTGGAGCTCTGTGGGGGACA